TTTTTGGCCAAAAACTCAAACCCAATCAGACTCCCAACAAGCCGGTTAAATACCTCCCATCTAAATTGTTTTTCTATTTTCGTTACTGCAGCTAAATGTAAGTAGTCAAGTGTAGCATCTTCCTCTTGAATTTAACATTTTTCTTTCTTCCTGGAGTTGGGTATCTTATTTCCTCATGGTTACTGCAGCTCCTACTCAGTACCCGTTTGGAATCAATGCTCATCTCCATGGAAAATTTTCAAACCGGATGGAGTTCTCAAGCTCCAGTTTCCCTTCTAGAATGGATATTTCAAAAGTCACCTGGTATGTCAATTCCAAGGTATGCAAAGCTTATTCCTTCCCCTTTTTCCATTCAAGCTTATTTTATCTGTATGAATCAAATAGGTGAACTTTGCTACTGTTTATGTGCTTTCTATGATATGGGTTTGGGAAAATGGAGAAACTTTCAGATTTTTTAACAAAGTTTCTGGTTATGATTTATGTTTAGAGACAAGGATGGCATTCACAAGATACTAGTGTTTTTTTTATTGTTGTTTTTGGGATATTTATGCAATCTGTTCTTGAATTCTCTGGTTTTCATGGTTCAGGGCTTAGTAAATCCAATATGTTCTCGGCCTGATATTGATGATTTGTTTTGGGAGAAAGTCCCGACACCCATCCTTGATGTGGTTGAAAACCCCATCCACTTGAAGAATTTGAATGTCAAGGTTGGTATTTTATGAGGCTAATACTTTTGTACTCTTTAAGCATGCAATTTCTTTGCTTGCTAAAAAGATCGGTTTTTGCAGGAACTGAAACAATTAGCTGATGACATCCGTGCAGAACTGTCTTCTTTAATGTCGAAAACTCAAAGATCCTTAAAAGCTGGTTTGGCAGCAGTGGAACTGACAGTTGCAATTCACTATATTTTCCATGCTCCAGTGGACAAGATACTGTGGGATGCAGGGGAACAAGTAATATAAAATTTGTGCAGTTTTTCTTCATAAGAATGCTTACAAATGAATAGATGTTGTAAAAATCAGAACCCTAATTTACTGATCTGTCATTTTACTTATTTTTTTCCTTTGGCAGGCATATGCACATAAAATTCTAACAGGGAGGCGATCCCTCATGCATACAATGAGAGAAAAGAATGGTCTTTGTGGCTTTACATCTCGATCTGAGAGTGAATATGATCCATTTGGTGCAGGACATGGATGCAATAGCATATCTGCTGGACTCGGTAGTTTTTTTCTTGCAGCTGTATATTATTAGTTTGACTTATGAGAGAATTGCCTTTCTTAAGAACATCTTTTGTCGGTCAGATTTCACATACATATATAAAGTTTGATCAGCCTTAGCTGACCATGACCAAATATTCTCTTTTGCTTAATATATACTATTTGTTATATTTACTTATTTAGCATGTAAAACTTTGGTATGAATCTATTGGAGGTTGCTCAACTACTCAGGTATTCTATATTATTATTAACCTCAGTTTGCATCTTATTTTTATCCTAGAATCAAACTTGAAGTTTGTTAAACCAATCAGAATCTAATAGTCTTTTCATATCAGGTATGGCAGTTGCACGGGATATTAAGGGAAAGCGAGAACGCATAGTTACAGTCATAAGCAATGGCACAACCATGGCAGGTCAGGTCTATGAGGCCATGAGCAATGCTGGTTATTTGGACTCAAATATGGTTGTGATTCTAAATGATAGCCGCCACTCTTTGCACCCAAAGATTGAAGAGGGCCCCAAGACATCCATCAATGCTCTATCTAGTACCCTAAGCAGGCTCCAATCAAGCAAATCTTTCCGCAAGTTCAGAGAAGTTGCAAAGGTATGCTCTGCTCTTTTCCCCTCTTCTTCTTTTTTTTTTTTATTTTATTTATTTTTTTTGTTTTCTGTCTTTGGGAAGAGGAATAATTTGTATCTGAATGTTGAAAGATCTGCCTTTTCTAAAGCTAGTCTCTCTAAAATCAATAATATTTTGATATATTGCTTGTCAGAACTGCCCTTAGCTATTTTTAGTTTTTTTTAGCTTTTACATTCTTCTGAAGTGCATGCCAAGTATTTCATGAAAAGACCATTTGGGTAGATACTCTATATGCGTTTATGCTGACCAATTAACTGCAAGGGAGGTTTATTGGAGTTCATGAAAACAGTGAGAGAATGCCAGAATGTTAAGAATTATTTTAGGTAGACTGGAATGAGGAACAATAAAGTGAATCTTCAAATCATCAGGGATATTATTGGGGACCTAAGGCTACATTCTGCTAGCAATTTGGTCCTTTCTACAAATTTTAGAGTTAGTTCCATTGTTTAAAAGTCAATAATATTTCATTTGCCTGGTAAATGCAGCATTAGTAATTTGATTTGATTACCATGGTCTATGAAACAAATTGTCTCTTTTTTTAGGGAGTTACCAAAAGAATTGGGAGGGGAATGCATGAACTCGCTGCAAAAGTTGATGAGTATGCACGTGGTATGATAGGTCCACTTGGATCAACTCTTTTTGAAGAGCTTGGCTTGTATTACATAGGCCCTGTTGATGGGCACAACATTGAAGACTTAATTTGTGTTCTACAAGAAGTGGCATCTCTAGATTCACTGGGTCCTGTGCTAGTTCACGTAATAACAGAGGAACATCAAGATTCAGAAGACAACCAAAAGAAGGAGATGGCAGAAAAGCAACAGGAAAGTATGTGTAACTTCTTTGTGTAACATATATGTAGGACTTATAGAACATGTTTGCACTGCAGCTTAGAATCTTTAAATAATTAAGGTTTATTGTTTCCCTTTTCTTTTAAAACCTTTCTAGGATTACCCTTACACATATTGAATTCATAAACCACCTCCTTCAACCACTTTTTCTTCTACTTGCTTGCAGGTTCAAGTGACTGTTATCCCATGGTGTATGGAGAGCGTCTTCAAACTTATAGTGATTGTTTTGTAGAGGCTCTGATTATGGAGGCTGAGAAGGACAAAGATATTGTAGTCGTTCATGCAGGAATGGAATTAGATCCTTCTCTTCAATTATTTCAAGAAAGATTTCCAGATAAGTTCTTTGATGTGGGAATGGCTGAGCAACATGCAGTCACATTTTCTGCTGGCTTGTCATGTGGAGGGTTGAAGCCATTTTGCATTATTCCTTCTACCTTTCTGCAAAGGGCATATGATCAGGTTCCCTCTTGGTCCCCTCTTGCATTGTATAATCACTCCCTTGTCTGCAAATGTCACTTGTCCATGAGAATGGTGTGTGTGTGTGTGTGTCTTAGCATACAACCAGGTTTGCATTCTAGCATACAATAGTTAAAATATGAAGCTATTGCTGCTTTTCACTATAAATTGAAAAATCATGATTCTCCAGGTTGTCCATGATGTAGATCGCCAAAGGATTCCAGTGCGTTTTGTCATTACAAGTGCTGGACTTGTTGGATCTGACGGTCCCTTGCAATGTGGAGCATTTGATATTACTTACATGTCATGTTTGCCAAACATGATTGTCATGGCACCATCCAATGAGGATGAGCTCGTGCATATGGTCACCACCGCAGCCCAGATTAATGATCGGCCTGTTTGTTTTCGGTTTCCTAGGGGTATCGTTGTTGGATCAGACAACTGTACAGTACGTGGAATTCCTATGGAGGTTAACACTAAACTTTCCTTATTTCTGAATTTGTTTTGATCCATTTTAGTTTATTTTTTAGTTATTACTTGTTGCTATCAGCTTAACTATTTGTTCTTAAAGTTTTAATGCTTTGCAAAAGCTGATGCAATAGTGCCACATACTATTTTTGTAGATGATTCATAAGTTGTTCTTTCTATACTTTCCTTCTCAAGCCTGCACATCTAAGTGTTAAGAGAATATGTGATCTGTGCATTAGATGAATGCAGTGGTAAAAATACTGCCGTAATTTAATCTCTGTTTGTTATTCCAGAAATGTCTTTCACATTTGTTTTTGCCAAATTTTGTACATGTTCATTACTATTCACTGTTAAATCCTTGGTGTAATTTTTCAATTATTAATCAATATATCATCTGCTGATAATTAATTACTAATTACTAAGCTCAATTTGCTACTGTCCTCATGCTTCTGACTGTGAATTAATTCTGACTGGAAAGCAGATAGGAAAAGGAAAAGTTCTTGTTGAGGGTAAAGATGTTGCATTACTTGGATATGGGGCAATGGTTCAAAACTGCCTCAAAGCTCAGACCCTTCTTTCCAAGCTTGGGATAGGGGTAACGGTTGCTGATGCAAGATTCTGCAAGCCTCTTGACATTAAGCTTCTTAGGCAGCTCTGCAAGAACCATAGCATTCTGATCACAGTTGAGGAAGGATCTATTGGAGGATTTGGATCCCATGTTGCACAGTTCATTGCCCTAGATGGACAGCTTGATGGTGGAATAAAGGTAACATTTTCATCCAATCAGCAATTCATATCATCACCGAGTTTACTTTTCTTGTAGTGGGTGAGAGAGTGAGTGGCTGTCTGTGCGTGGGTGGGAGAGCACACATGCATGCATACATATAGAAGGGGATAAGTGGTTGGGATATGTTTCTTCTTTTATCCTTTTCATCTTCCTGCCATCTTGAAAAAGAAAGTTAATCTTATCAATGCTTTGTATATACATAATCATGCATGCACATGTTGGAAGAAACAGACTTAAGACACTACGATATTTATTCATCTCTATTCCTCCAATCTCTACCCTAACATAATTAGAGACATACATCATTACCATTATTAGTGAAGTTTAGAAATTAGATACATTGCACTTTCTGTTTAGTCTAGCAATCATATAGCAATATAAGTACTGACTATTCCTTTTTTCTAGAGAATTTAGCTGTCTGTATATGAACATGAGGATTCAGAGTAGGAGTTTGGGATGGAGTTAGAGGAGGATGTTATTGTAATGTTATTGTTTTAGCATGCATCTGATGCCTATGCTGTACGTATTTCTTTTATTTATATAAGATTGTTAGGTCGAATCCTGCCGATACTAAACTCTTGTCCAAATGAATTTTCCCCAGTGGCGCCCGATTGTCTTACCAGACAATTACATTGAACATGCATCGCCAAATGAGCAGCTTGCTCTTGCTGGGCTAACCGGGCATCACATTGCCGCTACTACATTAAGTCTTCTTGGCCGCACACGGGAAGCTCTTCTGTTGATGTCATAGAGGTAACAAGGACTGAACATGAATGGAGGATAACAGAAACTCAAGAACGGCACTACGTCTCCTGATCTCTTTGGTAATTGGTTACCTTTAAATTCAACAGTAATTGTACAGCATTGATAACATTACTGAATCACATGTTTGTGGAAATGACATAAATGACGAACAACGTCTTTATTATGATCCCAATTTTGTTCCCTTGCATTTTTTTTTTTTTTATCTAAATTTGTTCTCATATCCAGTGACAAAGCTGTCTTTGGTGTTTTTGTTAATATCACATTATTACAATCAATATTATTTTATATAAATTTACATTTTTATATATATTTTATCTTCAATTAAAATACCTCATTTTTAATACAGACTTAAAACAGATTTTCCTCAAAAGATGCATTAGTAATCAGGAAAAATAAACATTGAGTTGAGAAACAAACGGTTAGCAGCTATAAAATAAGTTTTGGCCTCCATATGTGAACATTGAACCAATCACAGGCAGCGCCTGACATGCGTTGCAAAGTATTTTTGTCTCATAACGGAGCTTATCTCAATGCAGAGAGACAAGTTCAAAAAAGAGAACAACTCTAATGATGATGAAGTAATGTCTCTATTCTCTTTTAAGAGAGAACAATGGGAGAGATCGATCCCCATTGTTTGTGTTCTTAATTGTACACCAAACGTTGCTCTGTCATAAAGGAGGAAAAAAGGCTCGCAAAGTGGTAGTAAGCAAGATACTAGAACCCTGCAAACACTAGAATCATGGCACCCTTTCATAGAAAGCATCGAACCCATATTGTGAAATTAAAGGTACACTTAAATCAAAAATAAAGAAAGAGAAAGTGACTAGTTTAGGTCATGTGAAACTCCTTTCATAATTAGTGAATAGAACACAATCCTAACATGCAAAACCCACAAGGTTCATACATTCAACATGGAAACAAAGGCCCCAAAATGCTATACCATGATCGACAAAGACAAGCCCCAACTGTAAACTATTATTATGAGCCATTAAGTTCTTGTGAGTTTTTTAGGTAAATGCACATATCATCCTTCTCATAGATTTTTTTTTTTTTTTTTAAATGGAAATCATGCAAATTGGGTTGCCATAGTCCCACCTGCATGTTGTGATTTCTTGATAATATCGGTTAGTTAGCAGCAAATGTCAAAAATAAAATTCCTCAAAAAACCACTGTCCTCATTTTTGTGGGGCTGCCCTACTCCTATCGTAAGTACCAACCAACCCCACGAGGGAAAACTCATTCCTTTCACATTGTCACTCTTGAGGGTCCCATTCACATCCCATGTTTTTCTAATTTTTCTTCATTTATTTGTTCCTTTTGTTTTTCCCTTTCATTTTCAGGGAAAATTAATTGGATTTTAATTTTGGCGGACCCCCCCTTTTTTTTTCTTTTTTTTCTTTTTTGGAAAAAATCAAATTCTAAGTTGTATTATATTTTAGTTCACATCTTATCTCTAACCCCAAACATATGATTTCTTATGACTATTTTGATTAGTTTTTATTTTAGGACATATAGTTAAATGAGTAAATACATATGAGATTAATGTTTATCAATTGGATTTATAAAAAAATTAAATAAAAAAAACTTCAATACTATGTCATTTTAATAAAATATTATAAGAATAGGTTAAAATATTATCATTTTTATGTTAAAAATAATTAGAGTATTTTAATCTTTTTCAATAAAATTTTTTTAAAACAGTATAATTTTGAGATATTTTTTCATTTAATTTTTTACTACACAAGCTTATATCCATTTTTTTTATATATTAATATACAAAATTTTTAATAATAATTTTTTTATGCATAACTCCTTAATTTCATTTTCGTTTCAAATATAATAACGTAAAGTCTTATTTGGGTCACATTTTTTTATTACATTTAACAATGTCTTGTTTTTATTTGACCAATTTATTTATTTATTTTTTTGCAATGGCCGCACTGTTTTATATGAACAGAGACAGACTCCAACTTTTCCTCGCTCTCCGACACCTGCCACCTTACTGCCTTTTGACTTTTGAGTCTCTGCTCCTCGCTGTACCTCTCCAGGTCTGTTCTTTTCTGGACATGCATTTGAGTCTAAGCTGCAATCACTGAAATATGTTCTTTCTGTTTGAAGATTTTTGTGTTTGCTTTTGCATGCATGGACTTGAATGTGGGAAGAAAAAAAAATTGAGAAAGAGTAATGTTACACAAATGGGTCATTCCCTTTTACTTTCTCATTGTGAAGGAGTGTGAAGGTTTTTCAAAATGCAGAATTCAGTTAAATTTTGTTGTTGAATCATTAACATATTTTGCTCTGTTTACGATTTTAGATTTTGATTTGCGAGGTCTCTTTTCCTTTTTGCTTGATAAAAGGCTCATGATTTTGAAATATAGATAAATTGCATGTTCCTGGTGGTGTACATATATTTCCTGCTTAAAATTGTATCCTTAGATTATGAGTTAATGCAACGTCTTGTGGCAGTGATGGAAAGCCTGAAAACTCCATTCGTGGGGATAATTAAAGATGTGAAAGGGAGAAGTGCATGCTACAAGGAAGATTGGATCGGTGCACTTTGCTCAGGCATCAGGTATGGTCTTGTTTGTCTTGTAAGATTTTATGTTCAGGTCATATGAATTTAATTTAAATTTTCTGTTTAAACAATGCAGGATTTTGGCTCCAACTACCTATATCTTCTTTGCTTCAGCTCTTCCTGTTGTTGCCTTTGGAGAGCAGCTGAGTAGAGAAACAGGTGCTCCATTGCATAGTCTCCTCAAAATTAAAGAGTTATTGATGCTGGCTAGATGGATCTTAATTATTCTTGAAACTTTGTTAGAGTTTAAAGCTTCACATGAGTGAGATAGATTTTTTTTTTTTTTAACTGTTTCAGATGGGACCCTCGGTACGGTTGAAACTTTAGCTTCCACGGCTATTTGTGGTATAATTCACTCAATTTTTGGTGGGCAGCCTTTGTTAATAGTAGGAGTTGCTGAACCAACAATTATAATGTACACTTATTTGTACAATTTCACCAAAGGAAGGCCAGAGTTGGGTCAGAAACTCTACTTAGCTTGGGCTGCATGGTAATGGATGCAGTTTTCCTCTTCTTTTTGTTTTATGATTATTTAGTGTTTCAAGCAATCTTGAATTGAAAGACGTGTTCATATTGTTTAATTCCAATGTTCATTCTAGGGTCTGCGTATGGACAGCACTGCTTCTCTGCCTTCTTGCTATATTTAATGCTTGCAGTGTCATCTCTAGATTCACAAGGGTTGCCGGAGAGCTTTTTGGCATGTTGATAACTGTTCTTTTCATTCAAGAAGCTATCAAGGTAGGTACTGACTATTTATGAAAATAGAAAAATGCATTGTGTAAGAATCATGTGGTTTGACCTTGATAATACATGGATGTAGGGACTAGCAAGTGAGTTCAGTACTCCCAAAGGTGAAGATACTAAATTGGAGAAGTATCAATTTCCTTGGCTGTACACAAATGGGTTACTTGCAATCATTTTCTCATTTGGGGTGCTATTCACTGCCCTAAAGACCAGAGGTGCAAGATCATGGAGATATGGCACAGGTGAATCAGCTGGGATCCTGCTGTAGTCATTTTAGTGCAAATTCTTTGCAAAATTAGATCTAGTTCACTGAGTTTTCTGTTTTTCCTTTAATGGTATTGGGTGTCAGGGTGGCTCCGAGGTTTTATCGCTGACTATGGTGTCCCCCTTATGGTCTTATTGTGGACAGCATTGTCCTACGGTGTACCCCACAAAGTTCCTTCTGGAGTTCCAAGGAGGCTGTTCTCTTCACTTCCTTGGGAACGTGAGTCATTGTATCATTGGACGGTGGTCAAGGTATGCTGTGACTAACTTGCTTTTTTTGTTTCCTCTCCAAAGTTCTTATGTCTCTTCATATCTTTGTGTTCTCTATAATATCAATATCCTGGAATCTGGGCCTATTCAGTTGAAGTTCAAAAGCTTTCTTGCTTAGCATTTAACTATATAGCTGATTTTGCTTCTGAGATGGTGTTTATTCAGCAAAAAAATGTTCAAACTTGACTAAATAGAGTTGAAGTCTTGGTTAATATCATCCTTAATCCTGTCTTTTTAACAGGATATGGGAGAAGTTCCAGTGGAATACATCTTTGCTGCCATTGTACCAGCAGTCATGATAGCAGGTCTATACTTCTTTGATCACAGTGTTGCTTCACAGATGGCACAACAGAAGGAATTTAACCTGAAAAAGCCATCTGCTTATCATTATGATATGCTGTTGCTTGGCATTATGGTACTTAAGACACTTTTTCCCCTTTTCCAATTGATGCTGTGTTTTCCACTCTATAGTGTATAATTTGTAGGCTTACATGTTGTTTGTCAATGACGGCTACAGACTTTGATTTGTGGATTGCTGGGACTGCCTCCTTCAAATGGAGTACTTCCACAATCTCCCATGCACACCAAGAGTCTTGCAGTTCTTAAGAGGCAGGTGGGTGCAATAGTTCTCTAAGTATTCTCTTAATTGTTGGTATAAATGAATAAAACTGTTTATCTGGATTATTAAACAATATTACCCACAAGATGCAGCTGATTCGGAAGAAAATGGTAAAAAGTGCAAAGGAATGCATATTGCAACAAGCAAGTAACTCAGAAATTTATGGAAGGATGCAAGCTGTGTTTATAGAAATGGATGCCTCTCCAACTGTACGTAATTTATGCTTTCACTGCTTCTACTGCTTGTTATGCGTGTATGCATGCAGTTAACTCTGCTGATACATTTGCTAAGCGTAATATGGATATTGCTGCAGCCTAATTCGGTAGATAAAGAGTTGGAACATTTGAAAGAGGCTGTAATGAAAGGCAATGATGGAGGAGATGCAAAGGAAAATTTTGATCCTGATAAACACATTGATCCTTTTTTGCCTGTTAGGGTCAATGAGCAAAGAATAAGTAACCTGGTACAGTCTTTCTTTGTGGGATTATCAGTGTGTGCTCTGCCAGTAATTAAAATGATACCTACCTCAGTGTTGTGGGGATACTTTGCCTACATGGCCATTGATAGCCTGCCAGGAAATCAATTCTGGGAAAGAATATTACTGCTCTTCATCACCCCTGGTCGACGGTACAAGTAAGTCATGTGCCTCTAAACTAAACTTAAAGTACAGCAGAGTTTGGTTAAATGTTAGTCATGGATTAAGCTTAGGTTCTTCAGAATTATTTGGTACAAATTAATGCTTTTAGCACTAACCCTTCTTATTTTGTATGGTATTGTGCAGGGTCCTGGAAAGTGTTCATGTCTCATTTGTGGAGTTAGTACCTTTCAATGTCATTCTGACCTTCACCCTCTTGCAATTCCTTTATTTGCTGCTATGTTTCGGAGTAACATGGATACCTACAGCTGGAATATTGTTTCCACTGCCATTCTTCCTTCTCATCCGCATAAGGCAGCACATCCTCCCAAAGGTGTTCCATCCTGATCACCTCCGCGAACTAGATGCTGCAGAGTATGAAGAAACTGCTGGTGCCACAGAAAGAAACCAGAGTCTTTGCAGGGTATATCTTCCTTTTATCTCTTTAATATACAGTATGCTTCTTTCTTCTCTACTATTAGTTATTAGATTCAAATGCATGATAACCTGTGAACAGGATAGAGAACAACCTGAGAGCGGCTGCCATGGAACTGAAGATGATTTCTATGATGCTGAAATATTGGATGAGATGACCACCCACAGAGGAGAATTGAAGCTCAGATCAAATGTAAGCTTCAAGGAAGACAGACACAAACAGGTACAAGTACAACATGGTTATTTTTACGTGCTGTGAAATTTTTTAACCATATTTCAGCTTCCTGCAGGCTTATTCTTCAATATGACATCATAAACATACAGGTGCATCCAGAATACACCAGGGCCGACCAAGGACAGTGAGAGCATACATTATAGAGGATGTGCCCATTACAACAAAGATCTTGACTATAATCCTCTGTCTAATTGAAGCAAGAAATATGATCCAAAGCAAGATTGTCCCATGGGTGTTGCCTATTATAGTCAATCAACTAGACAAAAGAGTCAAAAACATGCATAAGAATAATCAGTCTTCAGCCAAAAAACTAAATAAAGATTAAGAGGAAGAATTGAAGGGATCAAGGAAGCAATATTGAACTCTGTTCTTTATCCATTTTTCTACTTTTATTTTAGGTAATGCTGCTAGAAATGTATTGTAGGGTGCCCATAATGCAAAAGAGAACAAGATTAGTGGGGATGGAACTACATTACCACCCTCAGCTAACATTTTACACAACCAAATAAGGAAACTTCTAGAACAGGAAACAAGAGAAGTAGAGACAACATTTACAATTGTTCCAAACAACAATCACGTTGTACCTATGTCAACAGCGAAGGAGAGAGATTAATCCAGTATAATCAGGAGATTTAAAACACCTATTTGTGTTTGATAACTCAATCATTCTCCAATAGGAGTCTCAATACACCAAAGAAAATTTGAGTTCACTATAAGTTGCATTTCTAGCAAGAAATAGTAAAACTGGCTTACTCCAAGAAATAGTTGGTATTTTGAAGAAATCCTGAACAATATTCTTCCAAATAAGTTGCAAAGAGCAGATTCCTATTTCTGCAATTCTCCGGATTGCAACTTTCTGCTAATGGAGATGACTAAGAACAGACTTCATCTTCCTAGGAACTCAGGAAAAACAGTCCCTTTACTCTAGAATTCAAAGCAAACACCACTGAAACAGTTGAACAAAGGAGTGGAGCCAGCAGCAACAACTCCAGGACATGTGTACGAGGTCTTAAAATTTTCCCTAAGCAGTTGTGCTCACATTGGAAGAAGTAGGTTTTGGCTAGCAATAAGTGTTTGGACTTGAGAAGAATACTCAAAACCCACCTTCTGCAGCTTCTTTAATTTGCTTTCATTTTGTACAAGGATATGACTTCATCCATAAAGAAGTTATGTGAATATAAAAAATAAAAAATAAAAAATAAAAATAAAAAAAGAGAAAAGAAAAGAAAAGAAAAGAAGATAGTGTTTTTCAAAAAGAAGAATAGCATAATTTAGCTTCTATTTAACCAGGTAATTTCAAGGAATATCAAACTGTTTCTTGATGATATACAAGGGAGAATATCACAAATTGGAAAAAAAAAAAACTCATTGTAAGGAACAGTAACAGATTCTCCCATTTTCCTTTCTTACTCTCATGTTTATTGTACCAAAACCTCTTTAAAGTACAAACAAAAGAATGTGGAAGAAAACATCTATTTCTGTTTCCTTCCACTTGCAACTATCTCCTTATTGACATTTCCTATTATCGACCATATTAATGAACGAAAATTGAAAATTTAGGAGCCAACCTGGGCAGGATGTAGGAACCTCAATGATCAACTGCTTCTGCTTGAGTCTTCAGTCCTTTGGCTTGCTGAAATTTGATATCCAGCATCAGTTGTGAGAATTAGATGATCTCCATCTCTAATAACATTGATATCATCAATTTCAGCTCCTTCCATGGTGAAAATTTTGGTGGGAAAGAAGCCAAACTTTTTGGCACCAATATCAAGTAGTTCTTCAAGTGACGCCGGAGAAAGAACAAGCTTACTGTTGATTTCACTTCTTTCAGGGCAACTAAGAGTCACTCTGGCTGGAATACCTGATTCTGGTACTGTTTGAAAGTTTTCAGTGGCTGTCATTGGAACTGCAAATGGTTTAAAATTTGGAATTCACTTTTAATGCCACCATACTATAAACAGAAGCTAAGTGAACTCTTGCATTGTACAATTCAAAAAAATCATGAAAGTAATGTAATCTAGATATCAAAGAAGAGCACAGGAATTTTTAAGAATACTCACCAGCATTAGCAGCTGCTATGACCCCAAATAGTGAATTCTTATAATTGTCAGCCCTCCTCCTACGATTATCTGTCCCTGACAACTCAGGAACAGGTGGTACGACATCAGGGGTAAAGGAAGTTATTGTAGGCTCACTATTGTACTTGGAAAGGGACTTGCAGGAATAAAGGAGTAACCCTTGCTGCTTTGGACCAGTAAGAACTGAAGATTTCTTTATCTCTGGCCTGTTTTGCAGTAAAGCTTGTATCTCTTCATGGCCCTGATGATCTGCCAAAGACCTTGGTGTCCAGCCATGGTTATCTGGCATATCAATATCAGCTCGATGTTCTACGAGGTACTTAACAATTTCAACATTTCCTTCAGAGACTGCAGTATGAAGGGCCGTAGTTCCATTGCTCATTGGCGCATTTACATTCCCACCATATTTAATAATGTCCTTGAGTAACTCTAAGTTGTTTTGTTCAACTGCCTTGCTTGCAAAATGACCCACATAAGCTGAAGGTAACACTGCACCATTGTCTGCAAGAAGTTTAGTAACAGATTCATGCCTCCCCAGCATTGCTTCCCATAATGGAACATTTCCTTTAGAATCTGCAAGAGAAAAAGCAGTTAACGGATATGCCTATTTTAGTAAGCCTCTCTATTAAATGATACATCATTTGAGAAAAAGAGAGCACAAACGTACATGAATTTTCCTTGAATGAATTAAAATTTCATTTGGTTTTGGCTAAAAGATACCTCTGATGCAAGGATCTGCTCCATATTCTAGAAGCAAAGCTACACAATGTTCACTTCCTTTAGCTGCTGCAATGTTCTGTTGCATGGAAAACAAACAGAGGCCCCAAGAATAAAATGGATGAGATTATATTGAGACAATAGCAATACACACAAAAATACAGCCATGCAAGGAGAGAAAAGAGGAGATATTGGCACAGACCAGCGCTGTTCGCCCCTTGATGTCTGAGTCATTTGGATCTGCGCCACACCTCAGCAACTGTCGCAACAATAAATCATCTTCTCTTTCAGCTGCAAAGCATACACTTAGAGGCAAATCCATCCTGCCCCTCGCTAGCATGTGCTCTGTCTCTGACAGAATTCCTTCCATCAAGGGATCCCTCAACTCCTTCAAATGCTGAATTAACCGAGATAAAGCAATATCACTATGATAATCAACACCATTCATATAATATCACAAAGTTTCTTGTATCCATAAATATACTCTTTTCTGGTAATAGGACTAGTTAGAAACTGTATGTGGTTAGCATAAAGAGAACTTGAAGAAAAGGAAAATGATTGTGGCTTTAGATGAGGGCTAGCATACATATAGCCCCAACATGATTTGCTATGTAGCTGAATCACTCAAAAAGTAGATAAACACCTAGAAGTTTGCAATGACATTGAATGGGAACAACAGAATTTCATGGAATGAAGCAACGTGATGAAGTGCTGCTACTCATACTCTGATTAATTTTTCTTGCATTTTTTTTTAAACCTTGTCCACATAGAATGATGTTTAATCTCAAAGGACACTTAGCCTAACTAGGTCTAAGTACAACTTTTGACAAATTTTTAATAGAATTACCAAATGCAGAAACCAATTAGAAATATTGAACTTATTTAATAGATTCCAATACATTTTGTCTGTTTGTTAAGTGTAAGGTAGTGAAGAAAACAAGATTAAATATAAGCAACTGTGCTAGCAGAAGATCCATAGAGAACCTTAAAGAACATACTTTTCAAATTACAAAGTGAATGTCTGCAATATAATGAAAATTTAATTCATCCAAGGCCCATAGACAGAGGAAATAAACCAAGTAAAATAAGGCTGATAAGGAAATTACTAATAACCTGAAGGAGATTATTCAGGATTATTGTCCCATCTCCAACATTTGCCTGAACAATGTTCAGGAAAGATGTGCGGTTCAAACGAAGCAGCTGACTCAACTGTTTGGTCCGAACTGTGAACATTTGTGGCTTGTAACAGAGAACACCTATCTCACCAACAATATCTCCTGTATTTACCTCCCCAATAACCTGCAGCAGTTCATCAAAAACAGAATATTCATTCTTAAGAAGCAAGTTCTTGTATTGTTCCTTTCTGTGTCAATTCAACTATAGTGTAAATGGTTTATATCAGTAAACTTGCCTGCTCTATTCCATTCCGTTGCACAATGAGTTCCTGTCAAGTTGACCAAAAACATAAGATTCTGCTTATTAACAATTATCTTTTGTGAAGGAGTGTTCTCCTTTTTTTATTTCTATTCCCCTCCAGTCTAAAAGCTAATATTCAAAAGCACTCATGCACAAGAGATATGAGGGGTGAGTTAAGTTCTTACCGCAGCACCCGTGACCACTATGTACATTTCTGTGGGTGCTTCATTCTGTAAAATCACATCTTCATTAGGAGGAAAATACTCGGCTTTCATTTCTGAGACCTTTGAAATTCAATAATCAAGGAAATACAAGTTAGTTAAATTCTGCCCCTGACAACTTTCTTGTTTGAGAACTAGACCTGGATAGTTTGCGATTCAATAATCAAAAACAAATATAGGTTAGTTAAATCTTTTGAATCAAAAAGATTCAAAACTATTCTAATGATAGCAGAGAATGAATCTTGCAAACACTACTAATGGTTATAAACCCTGTTAGTAACATTACCAGTTGAAAAAGTAAGTCATTTGATGCCCCACGAAACAAGTAGATCTTATCAACAAGTGTATAGAACAGAAAATGTGAAATGCTTGATTGAATGGCCTTTGGAAGAGTATCAATGGTCTCTTGCTGTTGTAATCCTTCAGAATCAGTTCGGTACCTCAAACATAAATGAGCAAGAATCTGATCCCGCAGGCGGACAGGAAGTTGATTCCTTTTGGCAAAGCTTGAGGCAGCTTGGATAGTGTCTCTCTGAAATGTTTCCCAAAAATGATAAACTTAAGACCACTAGAAATTATAATAAAGTACACTATGACTACGAAATCCCAATATTTGCAGAATATTAGTCATGGTTCCTCGAGAAGATCCTTTTATATCAATTACATGGTTGCAGCCAAGATGAAGATGCATAGATATATTTTCCATTCAAAACCATGGAATATGTAAGATTCTATGCGCACATTATTAAAATAGAATATCTACTCACAAATCTTCTGGTCCGACTAGTTCCATGAACGACCAAGTTGGTCATATTCCCAATAATGTATGCTTGCAGCCCGAAATTAAAGAGCAGGTAAATTGTATCATACACCATTTCCGGTGAATTCACAGGATGCACGTCTCCATATCCCACTGTAGTTACTGTGACAATGGACCAGTACATTGATGTCACATACCGAAGCCACAAACTTTGTTCCTTAAAGTCACTCGACAACACAAGTGCAATCCATGTCTTTGAAGGGTCACTGTAGTTGGCAGCAATAAAGTAGAAGATGCAGCCAGAAAAATGAATTGCAAAGAGGGTAACCTAGATGGACATCAGCAGCCGGGAGCAGCTAAGATAAATGTTAGGAACAAATTCGAGTAATATTTGAAAGAAACACTTACACATATAAGCTTTGTACATCGAACCCAAAAATAGCTAAAGTTCTTATCTTTCTCCAATCTGACATGGTAAATAAAAGATGTCATTAGCCCCATCTAAAAAAGAGAATGGAAAAACTAACATCGGTTCCACATTTAGCTAAGAAATACGTCCAAGTAAGTAAATTCCAGCACCTAGCTAGTGAAGAACAGTACAAAGATATTTGCATTCACTCAGGCCACTATATGTGTGATTGTGAACTTACTTTCAACGAGGGAGATAGAAAATACAAGTTACCTGGAAAATAATGTACTAATTCTTCGAAGACGCCATAAACGAAGCATATTAAACAATCCATATGATGGGAAATTAGAGGGCAACATGGCCCTAGCCACTTCAGCAGGGATGGTAGAGATGACATCGAAGGCAAACCAAGAAGTTGTGTACTTCCAAGCAATTTTTCTTGGGTCATCTATCAAGAGATAAGTAGCCTTGTCTAGGTATGCAACAAAAAAAGTCAAGACAATATCTATGGCAAAAAATGCATTGACAAAATTGTCTAATACGGACAGAGGCATTTCAGGCCTTTCTAGGAATGCAAATTCAAATGGAGACACCCACGCTGTGTAGTAAACCAGAACCATCAGAAATGAATCCCAGAATCTGCAAAATTCGCAGTAAATATCACATGTAAAGTACTGAAATTTTTGGTTTCATGAGCATCATTGAAGAGTTGAAATAAATGGGTAAATGGAAAAGGGGGAATTGGTTTGGATTGGTGGCAATCTAAGAGCACCCGGCTATGCCCTCATTCACAAGAGATCTTACATAAGAGAAATGGGTACCTGTAACGAGGATCAAATGGAGAGACAATCCAGCGGCGGAGCTGTACCTTGCGGTTACTACGAGCGGTGGCCCCGAGCGACGGTAAAATGTCTACGGTGAGGGTGTTGAGGTCATCCTTAGTATATGCGTCCACATCAGGTCGACGGTCAGTGCTCTGTCTTCCACCATCATCATCGTCTCTTCCTCTCCCAAATATCACTTTCTTCTCCTTCATCCGGAACGTCGCTTCAACCATCTATGTGAGACGTGTATGCGCCACTAGCGGCATCATCCAGCAAAGACCTCTGAATGCATCTCTATAAATAGAAACGTACGGCAATGGGCGTGGTTTGTCTCCTCCATGCTCCATGCACCATGCTCGTTACGTGAGTAGCGGACAGACATGTTCATGACGTGCTCCCTCTTCCCTCCTATTATCCCGCCAACCTTTGTCACAATTCGATTCTCTCCTCACCGTTGTTTTGCTTCTCATTTACATATATTTTTGTACGGCATTCTTTCATATAATTAAGTAATTAATTCTCAACTAATTCTTAGGCATGGTTGATGTGACCCAGCTGGACATCTCATTAGCGAAGAGTTTGCCTCTTTATGCCAAAAATTTCAAGTTAAATTCATCTCTAACATACCAAACAAAATTGTATAATCATGGACATTTTAAGGGATTGTGAAAATTAGAATGTCATTATTATTACTATTACTAACAGTTTTGGTGGATTGATAGTATGCGTTAAATATTTTGACTCATATTAAGATTCAAGTTTTTATTAAGATAGTTGTAATATATTTTTTATTTTTCAAAATTTTCCTTGGTTCATTTAAAAAAAGAATGTCATTACTATTAAAATATGATGAATCATAATGAAAAATTTTAAATATTTTTAATAAAAATAATTTTTTTAAGTATTTAAATAATTTTATAATTCATTATGACACTTTAAATCTTAAGATTTTTCAAACTTTAATCTTTATTTTTTAAAATTTGTGACTACCTAATAATAATAGATTTGATTAAAAAAATAAAGTGATGCAAATGTTTTAACCAATATTACTGCTGAATTTTTTTAAAAAATTCATTTCTCCTTTGTAACCTTGTAAACCAGCAAAGAACCCTATCAAGGATCAACTATCAAGTACATTATTGGGCCAACCTCGCAATTAACTTCAATTCAAGTTGGGCTTTATTGAGTATAATTAAGCCCAATTTTAGAAGCAGAGATAGAGGCGGAGGGAATCTGCGGACGCAGGCACACAAGCAGAGAGAAGAGCAGGCGCTGCACGGCGGAGAGAAACCGAGAATGTCGTCGTTTCTCCAGGCATTCGTGGATCCAAAGAAGAACTTCTTGGCAGCTATGCACATGAAAGCCCTCACGAACCGCCTCCGCAAATACGGTTGCCTTCCCCTTCCTAAACCTTGATTTCTCCTCTCCACATCAATATCGTTTCTTTCATCTCATTTTGATCGGTCTTCGCCTTGCAGGCCTTCGTTACGACGATCTCTACGATCCCTACTACGATCTGGACATCAAGGAGGCGCTGAATCGGCTGCCCACGGAGATCGTGGATGCGCGCCACCAGCGTCTCAAGCGCCATGGACCTTTCCATGAAGCATGAGTACCTTCCTGAAGATCTTCAGGTTGTCTTCAATTCCACGCTGTTTACTCTCTATCTAGTGATTCTAATCTGATTTTTCTTCGAAATTGTCCTTTTTGTATTCAGATTAATGCTATTATGCTCTTGAATTAGTTTCATACCGGTTTTTTTTATTTTTGGCTTTTTAGAGGGATATATCAAATGAAATATTCTGCATTTTAGCGCTTCTTTTGTTGATATTGTTGGTGAATACAATCAAACTATTGATTAGGATGACTTTTGGAGACAAATTCCCTATGCATTTGCTAGATTGAGCTGGAATTGCAGATTTTGATATTCTTATTGTTGTTATTCATTTGCAGACCAAGCAGACACCATTTAGAAGCTACCTGCAGGAGATGCTGACTCTTGTAAGTCCTATGAGACATTATCTCTTTTTCCATCGATTAATTTGGAATTTTGCTTTGAATGTTCCGTGCTTTTCTTTTCATTTTCGGAAGGCAAAGGAAAAATATAGGTGATTAATGGGACCAAGGTTTCTTTTCTTTTAAAAAATCCATTTGGGAAATGATAATCCCAATAGGTGCGAAAAGACTGAGTGAGTCCCAGTGCAAAGAAATAGAAACCCTGCAAACACTTCTTATGGTTTCAAACAGTTTATCCTACAATTTCTATGAAAAAAAATAAAAAGAATAACAGTTTATGCTCAGAGATATTTAAGTACAGTTGCAGAGTTGCCAAGTGATAACCCTCATAATATCACCTGTAACCACTTCCCTAGCTTTTCATTGGTTATGCCTTATGAGCAACTTAATGGAAAAAACAACCTATTGCTGCTCTATGTTAAGTGGATTATTTGCTATCTGAGGTCACTATAAGTTGGGAAAACAGAAAATGATGTTTAGTTGATACTTGTTAAGCTCTGTCGCATGCTTGTATCAGAAGAAATTAATTATCACATCTCTGATCAAAAGAGATTTCATATTCTTCTATTCCCATGGAATATTGCACCAAATTCCATGTCACCAGGTTATGGATGGTTTGAAATAGACTGTTCTTGCAGAATCCTATTCACTGTGTTTTGCTTCAGCGGGGCTTAGCATGGACAGCTCTGGATGCTCATTTAGGTGTTAAAGCAAAAGCTTCATGATAGTTAATTTATTTTCTGATTTATTCTCAGGAAATGAGCACAAGAGACCACTAGCTGATCTTTGTTCAGTTTTTTATAGGGCTTTCACTACTTTCCTGATGCTGATTTTCTTTGTGCTTTATTGCCCCATTTTTCCTTACAACATGAGCAATTAATTTGGAGTCATGTTTTAAAATTGTTCAGACTTCAATTGGTTATCTTTGTTCTGCTTGGCTAACTAGAAATAACTCACTATCATTGGTCCTTTAGCTTTATGCATTTTCTGTTTAGTTTGTCTGATAATCAAACAACTGGTTATGGCTTGGAGAGGTTTTTAATTTAAGGCCTAAATATGAATGAATTATTTGTTATGATAAACGTGAGGGACTCAATTGTTAGTTTTTGAAGGTTAGGGACCGCCAATCATTAACCCTAAAACTCTTAAGTTATTTTGCATGTCTTGGTGGGGGGGGAGATTCGTGGCTGTCAATCATGAATATCTTTCTACATTTTATGCTGCAAGGAAACCAAAGATTGAGATATATGAAATAAAATGAGAGTTTTGAGATTATATTGCATGTTTCACAAAATAAAAATGAAAGTAATGAAATGCGAAAATAAATGCATTGGACTAGAGGTTGTGTTAATGTATATTAATTTGTTGGCTTTGTCTTGCAGGTGAAAAAGGAGAGAGAAGAACGTGAGGCATTGGGAGCTTTGCCTTTGTATCAACGCACCATTCCCTGAGGATGCTTTCGAGTTCCACTTGTCAAAGAAGAAACGGACTTGTTCCGTTCAATTAGATGGGTTGCACCATAGTCATCTATGTCAGTAATTGGTTGTTTTGCTAGGGGAGGTCATTTTTTGTTGGCAATTTTGAAATAAAAATGTATAACCTGAACTCCACATGCTCAACTGCTAATCCAGAACAAGCAGTTGCAATTGCGATTGCAGTATAAGGAGTTACTTGTGTTATTTGCTTTTCACTAATATATATCAAGGTTGTTGAACCTGAACTCCATTTTCATTGCGTGTTCTTTTATACCTTTTTCTTTTTTTTGGTATATTATATACTAGAGGATAACTTTCCTTTTCTCTCAATCTCTTCCTATTTTATACAGAAGCCTCTTTAGTTTAGGAAAAACTGTCTTACAGTTCGTCTTGTAGCAAACTGTAAAATCAGGGCCATCAAAGGAGGTGGATCTTGATATTGAGCCCACCTCCTCGTCCTTTTTATGGTCATAATCTTATAGTCTATTACAGGACGGACTGTAAAACAACAACCTCTTTAGTTTAAGAAAAATTGTCTTACAATTCGCCCTCAAGACCATCAAAGGAGGTGAGCCCTTGATATTGAGCCCACCTCCTCCTCTTTTTTATGGCTTTAATCTTATAGTCTGCCACAAGACAAACTGTACGACAACAATCTCTTTAGTTTAGGAAAAACTGTCTTATAGTCCGTCTTGTAGCGGATTGTAAGATCAATACTATCAAAGGAGGTGGGTCCTTGATATTGAACCCACCTCCCCCTCCTTTTTATGGCTTTGATCTCATGGTTTGTCATAAGACGGACTGTAAGATAACAACTTTTTTAGTTTAAATTTTTAAGTTCTTAATTATTTAAAACATTCGCTTAAAGGCTACTCCATTGATGGTCTATTAAGTCATGAGTATGTACACCATTTTCTGAAATCTCAAATGCACTTGGATAGAATTTACTTTAGTTATAATTTACTTGTTCTCAACTTCTGTGTCGGTAATAGATTTCCTTGTCATGAGCATGGCTCATGGCCAAAATTTTCACATCCACAAGCTAAAAAAGCCCGCAATGGATATTCCCCCACCCAACCCTGCAGGCGCACATCAATCGTGGCAATTAGACCCAATTCAAGGGTCCCGTAAGAAATTATTTCATTTCTATAGTTATTTAACTCAGCTAAAAAACATTGCTCGGATTATATAGAAGATATAAACCCTTTTTGAAAAAGGTAAAACAAATATGTTCGGACAGCACAAAGCTGCCCATTAGATGAGCGCGACTCTTCCTCCATTTGATGATC